TTCACACTCCAAGTCAAATCGGACCTTTGTGCCCGACCCTACCCTATAATTATAAAGGATTTTGAAAAAAATGCGGTTCTCATATTCTCAAACATTCACACAATGTGATGATAATTTAATATTTAATATCTTAAAATATTATTATAATAGCTACTATTAGTTTTTGTTTTAAAATCATAAAATCAAATTATATAAAAACCTGAAGATTTATTGTTTTATTTATTATAAGTTGTTTCATGCCGTATAAAATTATATTTGCCTACATATAAATTATTTATATAGTTTATGATACATAATTTAAAGTTTATAACGCAAATGATAGAAGTAGTATTAACAGAAATTTATATTTAAGCTTTTGCAAATATAAGTTATCTATCTCACTAATATCTTATCATTCGAAAATTTTTTGCTCCATTTGTTTTATGCGCGTTTTATTCCTTGATCATAGATATCATTAATTTATTTAACTAATGATAAATTGCATTATTTAAAAATATTGCATGATAAATGAATGCATGAAAAAATTATAAAATTGTTGCTCTTATGTTAATTTTTAATATTTTGAACGAAATATTTAAATATAATACTTTGTTAGGAAGAACTAAAAATATATTTATTATTAAAATTTATTATAAATATTTCTTTCTCTTTCTATATATATATATATATATAAAGAGAGAGACAGAGACAGAGAGAGATTTATATATATATATATATATATATATATATATATATATAGAGTAGAGCAGGGCTTGAAGTTCCGCGGGTTAAGAATTTTTTACCAACAATAATTTTTAAAAAAATATATAGCGCCATGTATTTTCACAATAAAAGTATTTTTCTCGTTAGTAGTTTTTTTGGTTTTGAGCACTTTTATTTAGTTTATAATACCTGACATTTAAGTATACGTCACTTAGTTGTTTCATCATATGTATTGTTATTTTTAAGTTAAATTTAACATATTTTTTATATAACCTCTATAAAATTGTACATGTGGGTGGGGTGAAAAAAAAAACAGAATCTTTACCCTTGCAAAGGTGTAAAATAAAAAAAATAGCAAATCAAAATGTAAATTAAAGTTAACAAATGCAATTATATATTACCAGGCCAAGTTTATATACAGTGTTATCTTTGTAGAAAATGTGCCCATTTTTGTAATTTTCCTTTAAAATTGAAAGTTAGACATTGAAGTAAAAAAGGACATATGAAAAATTGTAGAAAAATAGTAAAAGACACATTTCTATAATTAGAATAAACTGTGAATTTTACTGAATATAGTCAGATAGTTGTTTGTTTGATATGTGTTATTTGTTGTGAAATAATTGGTTTGGTTTTTACAATATAATTTCTCAAAGTCAAATTGGACCTTTGTGTCTCATCCTACCCTCTATATATATATAGTTTAAACAAAATACTTCTTAAGCAGGCTATTCAGATAACAAAAATAGTAAGAAAATTAAGGTATGTTTCTTAAAATTTTAATAGATATTCTTACGTTTCGAGTCCAAATTTGACGATTCTTCAGTAGATAAAACACACAAATTATTTAAACATAGATCATAAAAAAACTAATTCAATGAAAATAATTCTTCAATTACAACGATGTTAATAAAAAAGATTCAGAATATTTAATACAGAAAAACTATTAGGAGGTAATAATTTCGACCATCACTCAACGAAGGGTAAAAAGAGACTGTTTTACAGCTCATATATATTAAGCTCTCTATGAAAATTCTTATGATTGCATGTTTATATGACTAATACTGATTAAAATAGGTAGAAATTCAAACAATAAATATTTAATTTATTTTATCCTTTTCGCACAATTCATAATGGTTGTTTGATATATTTAATCTTAATCTTAGTTTAATTTTGCGGAATAAATATATAATTATATTGTGTAAATATCACCTTGATGCAAGTATTTCGTTTAATATAAGTTTTTTAAATAATTTGCCTTATCGAACACGCATAGAATATTTATTAAACATAATTCAGATTATCTTTTTAATAAATGAAAATATGCCGCTATGAAAGCTTTTTGTTCATAACAAGATTAAGGTATTGTTATAATTACATATATAATTAAACGTATGCCACTCTCATAATAATCTAGTTTCTATAATATTTTCTGTTTATATAATATTATCCTAATGTTTCTATTGCACAAATAGAGTGATTCATAGCTCATAAATCTTAACAATTACACTAAAATTAAATTATATAAATACTTAATTTTTGAAAATATTGTTTATGAATCATTATGAAAGATGATGGAAAAGAATTCTTGACAGGCCTGTTTGTTAATTTTTTATATGCATAAGAAAAAACTATATAATATTAAAAAAAATTTTTCGTACTAATTTATTGACTACTTTTGTGAGTTTCGTATACCCATTTTTCAATATTGTGTTAATTTGAAAATATTAGTAAAGAAAAACATTTTTTAAAATTCCTTTTAATTTGGGTGATCTCTATAATTGATGATACGATGATAGATACCCTCCCATTGCATTTAACAATTTAATTTTTTAATTTAAATTTAATTTAAGAAATATTGAACTAAATAATTGTGTGTTTATTCTAGATTTACGACTTTCGTCATTAATAAATTAAAATATTTTTTTTTTTAACAAATCATTTTCAAGATACAGAAACCATTCTATGAGGGCAACATATGTTGAATTTAAGAACAAAATTGTTTTAGTTAGACAATACATTTTAAAATAAATGTATATATTGAATTAAATATATTAAAAATTTAATAAATGGTTTGTGTAAGTTGGCATTAAATAATTTAGCAAAAACGTTCAATCTTACAATGTCGATGAAATGAATTTAGTTTTTTGACAAGCCACATGTTACTTAGTATTGCATTGCGCTATTTTTAATTTGGCATGCATTCCAATTTTAACAGTATTTAAGGAGTATAATTTCATTAAATATGTTCATATTATCATATTTGAATTAGCATATTTTAATGAAATCTATACTTTTTAAATACAAATAAAATTAGATATTTGTGTTTGAAAGATTTGTGATAATATACTTGATTCATAGCTTTCATCAATAGTTTTGTTGCTGTGATAAATGTAAAAATAAATGCATCAGCCATAAACTCAAAATATATAAAATATGTAGGAAGCTTGATACGTATATAATATATAAATACGATAGCAGATTTTAGAAAATCTAGTCAAACAATACAGGGAAATAAGTTTTGAAAATTGTTAGAAAAAAGCTTTTAAGGATAAAAAAAATTCGTATGTATCTATAATTATTGAAAATTTTCAGAATTATATTTTGTATTTTTATTTGATAAATGAGTCATGGTAACGGTGAGAATAATATCCTGAAAGCTCGTTCCATTTTATGATCTGATAATATATTTCAGATTAATTGATATGTGTTCCTAATTATTTTCATGAGTATTAAAATCCTAACACTGACTTCATTAATTTAATTCCGCTACGAATTTCTTTTTATTTTATTTATAATTGTTATCCAATTATATCATGAAGATTGAAGAATGAAGAATGAATATTGGTTTTGATGTCTATATATATTTGAAAATTATTTTGATCAGACATATATATATACACGTATATATAATATGCATAAGAGTATTCGACTCCATTGCATGAGCAAGCTCTCATCCTTAACTAATTTTAAATTGAAAATACTAATTCATAAGAGATATTATTGGCGACATTATTTTCGTCGAGGATTTTTAAGGCAATGTGCCAAATGGCAGATATCGTAATTATATAGGAAATGTTTTTTTGATGATTTTCCTTGGATGACACAAATTGTGCAAAAACTTAATATAATATTAAATAAGTAAATAATTAGTAAATAAGATATAATATTAGTTTAAGATTGTAATTACTGAATGCAAGTATATATTACAGACGATGCGTGGAAATTTATTATTATTTATGTAATATTGAAAATTGCACAACTGAAACCGCAGACAGTATAGGAATCAGATTTCATTATCGATACGATAAAAAAGGTCGACCTTTGACACACGAATGTCAGTATGCAATTCCTTCAATATTGTAAATATGCATCGCTGACGAAAAAGCGCAATGGATGTGTATATAATGTTTAGTGTAACACATCGTCATGTTAAATGTTAAATTGTTGCTTGTTTTCTGTTATGCGGCTGGCTTCTTATTTGCAAAAACAATTACCAGACACGGCACCCATTGACAATGGCATGGTGTATAATGCATGTTATTTGTTACTTCGGCGCATATTATTTCTACGCGGGACATGGTTCGTATTATGTAGCGTTTGTTTATCAATATTCTTATTATCCACCTATTATGAGTCCAATTACCGTTGAATATTTTTATTGTTCAAATTTCATGCACGGATGTAAATTTTTGTAGCGGGTTGTCATGAAAATATTCCGATGTCATTTCGTTCGCAGATCTAGCTCATTGCTTATTATTAGAATAAATAGCCATTATAAAGAGTTGCATACGCTTCTTGCAAATGCATATAGCAAACAATGTCTATTGTGTATAGTGGTATGCTGCTATGACGACTAATTTAAAATATATTGAAAAATAAGGACAAGGCTAAATTGCAGTGCATCAAATTATTTTGTTTGATTGGACAGACTCTCAGTAAACCGATTTTTAATTTCATAAAAATATACTACGTTAACTTTTACCATCAAGCTTGCTATTGTGAAGGTTGATATTAAATTTATTTAAAGTTAATTTTAATATTATTTTTAATTAAGTTAGTTATAAATGAACCGATCGCTATTTCCAAGTATTAGTTTTGTTCATGCAGTTAATTAGTGATCATTTTTGTGCGGTGTATGCGTAACAAATATATGTTTTAAATATTAATACACTATTTTGATTGAACGCGAAAATAAAAAAAAACGATACATATTGTGAGAATGAGGTGTGGAGTTATGCCGGAGGATATTCTCAAGTGACTGTACACAATGTTTGCATATTTACTTAAAATTTACTTACGTAACCAGAATAGGAGAGTCGCCATTTTTATTTTCTCGGATTTTTTTCGGCCATAATGCGGCACAAAACACATAAATTAAGAAACACACAAACCGCACGCAAATGAATTGGACTACTTATTTAATTAACATTCGGTATAATATATTACATGGCTGTATTTTTTCTATGCATTAGCTTACATTGTCACCGGTGTAACTGAGCTAGAAAAATGGTCGAACTTGAAATCATCCAGGCGCTTATCAGCGTCAGAGATACGAGCAAATAAAATGCCGATTTTTTTGAAAAACGCGATAACTAGCACTGCTCTATTGCCAACTGCAGCGACGACACCGAAACCAGACACACACATGCAGGCGCAGGCAATGTCTACGGATTTCTAGTAGATACTTAGAACGATTATTGTAACACTTGACACGAGTCGCGAGACAGTTCGCAGTTCACGTTTTACACGATTCACCTTCACAGTACACGGGACCCACTGAATATTACACCCTCCTCAGACGGAGTTGTTCCCGCGCAAAGTCTTTTAGGATCACACACCCGATTCACCACCGCGAACAGTTTTCACACCGCTAGCTTCCAAACGACAGAACGCTCTTTGTGAGTGAGTGCTTCATACGTTTGTTCGCGTCTTTCCGTTGGAACAATTTTCTACAATATCTATAAATAATAAAGTCGATGGTTTCACTACAGCACTATGCACTATGCACTATGCACAAAGCGAGTCCGATCGGTGGTCAGTAGGTTCTGACACCTCGTGCTCCTTGTATTAGGAGCCGGGTCGTTCCGTTGCTGACATGTCGTCGGCTTTTGTCTTCCGGCTTCCGGTCTTCCTGGAGGTTTCTCTTCGAGAGATCTTACTTGCACACTGCGCCCGGCATGACTCGTGCTCGCATATCACCGGTGTTGTCAATCGCCGAATCGCCGAAACGCCAAAACAATCCGACACGAGGGGGGGCGTGGCGCGTTATCGGACGTTACAAGAACGTAGTGGGAAAGAGGGTGGCTCAAGACTCAACTTAATGTGTTCTCATTCGATACTGTTACGGTTACTGACTTCAGTTCGCGTCGTCGTCGATGACGTTTCTTGATGATGGTGATGCGATTCTGTTTTGTCTCTCTTGATGATACCACCGCACTGAGGTGAGTCTTCGGCCTCCACCAGTATTCGTGTGTGCGCTCATACTACGAGCGAAACCGCGCGCGCTAGCTCTAGCGCAAAGGATCGCAAAAGGGGAACAAAAATTGCATCTACCAGACACCGAGAAACAACATGGCTGCCGTCAATGTCAACAAGCAAACGCTGTGGCTTTCTCTACGCGTCATAGATAGTGCTTGAGCGAAGGACTCCGGATGGCTAGGCCAGGCGGCGAGGTGGACAGACCTCGCGGGCTCCTCTGTCACATTTTTCCGCATTCGGCGAAAATTGCATTTTTATTAAGTAAGCTATGCATGGCGATATTATGACATATCTCGTTATTTATTTATTTTAACTAACCGTTTAAATTTAAATTATTTATAAAATAATGAACATTACGCTTCAATTATGATAAATATTTACATAGATTTTTTTCATGTTAAAAACTATTCAGTGCATATTTTATTTTTTTCTTGATAAAAAGTTTAAGTTTCAATATTTTATAAAATATACAATCAATTATCAGTTTTTTTAATTATTTGATCAAGTTTGTTTCTTATAAATTCTACTACTTTTTTCTTGATATAATAAAGCATGTATAAAAAATTTTTGTACTCCACATCAAATTTGTTTCATATTTCAAATTGTTACGCACATACGTTCAGATTTTTCCCCATAACACGCGTATAATATTCACTATCATACTCATATCAAAATAGACACATAGATTCATAGATTATACTCAACTCTTGTGAATATGTACGTACATACAGTGCAATGCGTTCGCATACATTCGCGCATTAAGAGTGCATTCTCATATCGCAGATGTAATGCCCGCCTCGGTTTTGAAGTTGTGTGCGACTACCCACACGAGCTTGCGTTCGCAAAAGAGATACAAGTGTACGATGGCACAGACAACACATGTGGATCCGCATATCCCCAGAAATGTGCGCATAGTGCGATGCACCAACACGGCCGCAGAAAACTAGCCACCGCATGCATTATTATTGCGTCCACATATTTCAGATCTCCTACTCAAGACCGTTCAAAGATCGATCTGTAGGATATCGCCGCTCCACACATTTTCATAAACCTACTCGGTTTAAATGTCCATTGGCTATTACATCGACTAGGTTATAGAGATTAGAAACTGGCTTTCCCAAAAAACATCGTCATTTCATTAACAATTAAGTTTTTATGATTTCATTCATGCAATTACCATTTTCGACAAAAAATTTATTAAAAATGTACTCAAGACCTTCAAAGACCGATCTGTAGGATATCGCAGCTCCACACATTTTCATAAACCTACTCGGTTTAAATGTCCATTGGCTATTACATCAACTAGGGTATAGAGATTGGATACTGATTTTCTCAAAAAACATCGATATTTGACTAGAAAATTAAGTTTTTAGGATTCGCTTCGCGCAATTACCATTTTCGACAAAAAAGTTATTAAAAAGTTATTCAAGACTTTCAAAGATCGATCTGTAGGATATCGCCGCTCCACACATTTTCATAAGCCTATTTGGTTTAAATGTCCATTGGCTATTACATCGACTAGGTTATAGAGATTAGAAACTGGCTTTCCCAAAAAACATCGTCATTTCATTAACAATTAAGTTTTTATGATTTTCTTCATGTAATTACCATTTTCTACAAAAAAGTTATCAAAAATTTACTCAAGACCTTCAAAGATCGATCTGTAGGATATCGCCGCTCCACACATTTTCATAAACCTACTCGGTTTAAATGTCTATTGGCTATTACATCAACTAGGGTATAGAGATTGAAAAATGATTTTTCCAAAAAACATCGTCATTTGTTTAAAAATTAAGTTTTTATGATTTTATTAATGCAATTACCATTTTCGACAAAAAAATTATTAAAAATTTACTCAAGACCTTCAAAGACCGATCTGTAGGATATCGCAGCTCCACACATTTTCATAAACCTACTCGGTTTAAATGTCCATTGGCTATTACATCAACTAGGGTATAGGAGAGTGGAAACTGGTTGTCCCAAATAACATCGACATTTGATTAAAAAATTAAGTTTTTGTGCTTTTTTCGCGCAAATACCATTTTCGCCAAAAAGTTATTAAAATGTTACTCAAGATCATCCAAAGGTCGATCTGTAATATATCGCCGCTCCGCACATTTTTATAAACCTACTCGGTTTAAATGTCTATTGGCTATTACATCAACTAGTGTATAGAGATTGGAAACTGATTTTCCCAAAAGACACCGACATTTGATTAAAATTAAGTTTTTATGATTTCCTTCGCGCAATTAGAATTTTTGCCAAAAATGTATTAAAAAGTTACTCAAGACCGTCCAAAAGATCGATCTGTAGGATAACACCGCTCCACACATTTTTCTAAACCTACTCGATTTAAATGTCCATTGGCCATTACAACAACTAGAATATAGAGATCGGAAACTGATTTTCCCAAAAAACATTGACATTTGATTGAAAAATCAAGTTTATATGCTTTTTTTCTCGCAATTACCATTTTTGCCAAAAAGTTATTAAAAAGTTACTCAAGACCGTCCAAAGATCGATCTGTAAGATACCGCCGCTTCGCACATTCTTATAAACCTACCCGGTTTAAATGTCCATTGGCTATTACATCAACTAGGGTATAGAGATTGGAAGCTATTTTCCCACCAAAAAACATCGACTTTTAATTCAAAAAAAAAATTTTTTTCGATTTTTTTTCACGAAATTAGCATTTTCAATAAAATAGCTATTCCGACAAACTATGAAAAGAAATAAATTTTTTCATTATAATACATGAACAAGCTTTTATAAAGTAATCCTACATATAAAGTTAAGCTTTTGCACCAGAAGGTATTTTCAAACAATTTTTTTATTCTTAATTTTGGCAGTGAGGACTGTTGTTTCGATTACCACAACTTAACATAATTTTTAAGTACTATGTTACTTAATTTTATAAGATGTATTATCATTTTTAAGTTAGATTCAACAAGTATTCTTATAAAAGCTCTATAAAAGCTTACACGTGGTTTGGATAAGAAGGTAAAATTAAATTAATAGTTATTTTTCTGCTGATGAATATTTCTGTAAAAACACCAGATCAAGGTTATATACAGAGTGATCTTTGTAAGAAATGTGCCTATTAAATTTATATTTTGGTTTGGCTGAATGATGTAGCTACTATTGTGTAAAGTCACTTTGAAATGAAGACATTGGATCTCTTCTACCCCTGGCAGTCCCCGTCTATGGGGTAAAAATGAACGGTCGATAGATTTCAGAAAAATAGTAAAAAACACATTGTTATAATTAAGAATTACTGGTAATTTTATTGAACATTATTTGATACGTGTTATGTGTTGTGATGTAGTTTATTTGGTTTAGACAGTATAATTACTCAAAGTCAAATAGGGCCTTTGTGCCTTCCCCTACTCTATTAGATTTGCAACTATATATTTGTTCAATTACAAAATACAAAACCGTAATTACTCATATATTATTATCTGATGTAAAACTTTTTAAACCAATACGATATTATAGCAAAAAAATTTTTCTCCAATGAGATATTTGAGGAGCAAACAGATCACAACAATCTTGTGTCGTCTTCTTCAGCATTGCATGTGAAAAGTAAAGATCCGGTACGATTTTTTGCTAAACTGTCTGCATAAATAAATAAATCGATTCATGTAAATCAATCGTTTTGTATAAATATACAATGCGTGACCTCGTATCATCTTATCAGTTCCACTCGTTTAAGCATCCAATGATGAATCACGTTTGCATTCGCCACACTCGCTCCGATGCCTTCTACATGCATATCGTTACACTAGCAATTCCATCACATATCACTCCGTTTGATCGACAATATTAAATCACACTTATCAGCTTGATAAACACTGACTGTTACACGACTCTTGCAGACAAAGAATTTAATGAGCACGAAAAATTAAAAAAAAAATTGAAAAAATATTGGTTGCAAGAGCCCTTTTCTCTAGCACTCAAATTTTGTACTTGAAGAATGAAACAACACAATTGTGAAAAACAAATTGGTTTATCTATCGCTTGTTTCGTCTCTACAGCTGTATACCAATTTTGAAATTTGAAAAGATAGTTAAATTTTAATCACTAAAAAAGAACAACCTCACGTTTACTTGTCTTGGGATTTTGATGAAACTTTGCATGGTGATAGAGACCCAGACCCAAAAGTGGTTTAATTATAAAATAATTGAAGTTTTTTAAAATAGCTATTCGTACTCTATAATGTAAGCAATTTAAATTTTAATCTTAAAAAAATATTTTGAGCATATACTTCTTAGCTTTTTACATATTTTATTGACTAGTCGTTGCTTAGTTTCTCTATTCCGAAATTAAAAATAAGATATTGGATCTCTTTTACCCCTGGCAGTCCCCGTCTATGGGGTATATAGATAACCAAATAATTTTTAGGCACATAACTTTATTATTAAGCAGATAAATTCTGTAATTGTCAAAAAAAATTGAGCTTTCAATGTTAACTTGAATGTAGAAATAATCTACTATTTTTCATACACCTTGATATATAATATCTAAACGATATATATGTAGAGTAGATATGAAGTAGATATATTAAGTCTTAATAGTATTACTATAATAAACAAAATTTTTTGTGCTTATAAAAAAATTTTTTACGTATTTATTTTATAAAATATTTCAACATAAACACTCTCAAATTTGATATTAAAAAAATAGAAATATTTAACTTCCCGTAGGGCAAGTTATAGTAATTTAGCTTCATGTACTGACTAGCAAATTTGTAGAATGTGTGATTGTGTCTAAGATTTTAAGAATATAAATAATTCTGAATTGTAAAATCGTTTCTATTTAAAATATTTAAAATGAATCATATCTGCACTAAAAATATTCAATATAAGTATTCAGATCGTAGTGCACAAAGAAGGCAATGAAAGAATATCGTTGTTCGAGAATCACGTTCTAGATAGAGACGCATTCTATTAATGTTATAAATACAAATAAATACAGATTTTTTATTTTTTTTCCTTCTAAATAGTTTAAATTTCAGTTTTTCTGCATCATGTGTATCAGCACTCATAAATAATTTAAATTGTACAATACATTTGTACTTATAATGATACTTGATA